CTGAATTATTATGGCTAAAATCATTGATGGAAGAACTTGGAGTTGAATATGACAAGCCAATGATGTTGTACTATGATAATCAGGTTGCCATCAACATTGCTCACAACCCAGTGCAACATGATAGAACCAAGCATATTGAAGTTGATCGACACTTCATTAGGGAAAAGGTCTCTTCGGGTGAAGTGTGTCTTCCTTTCATCGCATCTGAAGGACAGTTGGCAGATTTTCTCACCAAAGGCATTCCCAAGGCAAAACTTCAGCATGATACCAACAAGCTTGGCATGATTGACATCTATGCTCAGCTTGAGGGGGAGTGTAGAGAAGATGGGGGCCCATAGGTTGTTTATTTTTTCTTGTTATTTATGTTTCTTTTTTTGTAATGGGCCTTATTTTGAGCCCATCCTGTCGTAAATTCTTGTCCAACTAAGGGCCTCCTTGTAATTATTCAAATATATCTTAATAAAAGAGTGTTAGAGTACTGAGAGAGTTGAGGTTCGAAACTCTCATTCTCAGACCCTCATTGCTGAACTCTCAAGTTCTCCTCTCTTCAGTTTTCTTCATTTTTCATCGAAGAGAATGAATGCTTGGCTTTTATCACAATTGTTTGGTTGTGCCTTTCATAGAGCATGTATGCTTAAACCTGTGAAAATAACAAAGTATTATGCTGAATGTATGTTTTATTTGCTAGTGATGACTTGCCTATCCATCATTTTTGTTTTTACACTTGGATTTTGAGAGCCTTGTCACTGTAGGATACTAGAATGCTTGTCTGGACAAGGAATAGGTTCAGGGGCCCTCGTGGCTTTGTTTTCTGATCAGCTGAGGCGCATGGTGTCCTTCCAGATATTCAAATGGGTTCCAAGAATTGTCAATTTAATTCTCAAGAGGCCCTTTCTGCCAGGAATGTTGTATAAAGGCTCTAACAATTCATGGTCTTCCCTCCAGGCATGTACTTGCTTTACTGTCTTCATGTCTTGGGTTTGAATAGAAAATAAGAGAGATGATTTTAGTAACTTTCTGTTTCTCTCATTTGATATCAAACCAAGCATAGCCTTAACACCTTCAATTCCCCAGTCCCTTGCATGAATCTTTACGGATCAGTTTGATAAACCAAGGGTGCCCAATCTCAACTCTATCAAAAATAACCCATCCGAGCACTCACCATCTGTCTATTTACTTACACATCCATTGACACCCAAACGAGCATCGAATCATCTCAATCTTTTCTCTTTCCGCACAAGTTACCTACTCCTCAATTGACCATATACAAAGAAGGATACAACTCAAACTCAATCCTAAGAATTGTTTTTGATGAAGATTGTAAATTTTACAACCAGAAGAATAAATAAACAAATATCTTCAGTGATGAATTAACTATACTTGTAAAGGATTCATGGACTAAAACTAACAAGGCAACAAGGCCCCGACAACCACGAATAAAAGGGAAAGCCCCGGAATCACAGAAGAAAGAAATAACACCCATAAAGATTCATTAATGGATATCGTATTCATCAGAAACTGCGTATACAAATTAGATTAGAAACACGACACACCAACCAGAATATACAAACTATCTCCATGAGCATAACAGTTCTCAAGAAAAGCAAAGCCCCCAGAAGGGGGAAAAGGGCTTATGTAGAATTGAATTCCTTCTTGGGTATCATTCCTGGTGATTCCTCATCTTCTCAATGCGTTGGTGGAGCTGATCGAGACGAAGAACGAGATGGGTAATCGAGTAGAGGAGCCAGTAGAACACAAGAGCAGCTGCGATCAGCAGGGCATTGCGTTGGCTCTTCATGTTAGACTTCTGGTGACGAAAATGCTCGGTGGGAGTACAGGATTGACCCTCGCAAGCTGGGCGAGTCTCATACTTCCAGTAAATGTCCATTAACAGAAACAAGCAGAAGGGAATCACAGCGAGGAAAGGCTTGAGGAGGTTCTGAGTCACCGGGATGAGGCCCTTCCGGAGTCGGTCGATACCCGGCAGGGTCAGCAGAAGCAGCATGATGGCTTCCGCGGCTGCAGCGTAACCAAGCACGACCCACTCTAACGCCATTTCTGGCTTCCAAAAAGACTTAGCGGCAGCAGCAAATCTGAAGCTTGATCTTGGATTCTCAAACCGACAGAGACCAGGGTCAGGGATACACAGATAAAGATGAAGAAGGGAGTTTATAAAATGGAGTTGGACGGAAAAGGTTTGAGAAGAGGACCGACACATTACGCGCGCGAATTTTGTATGAAGTACACGTAACATCCCCAGCCCCAGGTGGCATTTGAAAAAGAGATTACGTTTTTGTTCCTACCGATTCTCATCGGCGCCCCAAAACACATCGAGTCCGGATCTGCTCCTTAGTCCTTACCGCCGGGCGCCTCACAGCGTCCTCACAAAACCTGAGGACGCCACGCGTCCCCAAAAACATGTGAGTCATGTTACACTCGAGGAGGAGCCCAACAGCCGTTTGGTCTCGAGCTCGAATCGTCTGTCCCCTCCAATAGAAAATCGCCATGCCACCTTTTGTACCTAAAACTTAAATTTAAACGGAGTTTCAGATTTAACGACCGTCTGTCCCCTCTCTCTTACCCACTTGCTTCTTTCTCCTTCTCCCCCTCTCTCCCTTTCTCTCTTTCCCAGTCTGCCATTTTACCCTCCCACGTCTGTACAGGTGAACCTGTAGATCTCCCAGTCCGTCATTTGCTCCATCGGCGATCGTTCTCACCATCTGAGAGCTAAGAGGATAGGTCTTCCATCCTCTCTGTATTGCTTCGAGAAGTAATCCTCCCTACACTGAGTGCTAGAACTGATAGCGTTCCAAACGTTGCTATCAGCAACAATCCTCCCTGAACCACAGCCACCCATTTTCGAAAATGAACCAGCAGCTGACAAACCCTAGAAGTTGTTGCTGCCTTTACTGAAGTTTGATCTCCTCAACCTTCTCATCTTTAAAGAGTTGATCTCCTTGTCTGACTTTCTCTCCGTCTTACCCTTGGAAACCATTAGCTTGGCAATGCTGCAGCAGCAAAACGGGCAGATTGGGGCAGGTAAGCATGTAGTCTGAATCATGCAATGCGCTCAAATCTGGTGGCCACAGTCTCTCACCTTGGTTGTAAAGACTTTGTCAAAGCAGATGCAAAAATATTCGGCTGGATGAGATGATTTTTTTTCCCGAGTGAATTATATTGCAATTTGCAAGTGCATTGGTTACTTGGGTTTCAGTTTCTTGATTTTTTCTTTCTCTTTTAACGTCTTGAAATTAAATTTCCAAAAGACAAGAGTCAAGGGTTTATCTTACCAAACTTTTATCCTATTTAGTATTACCGGATACCCAACAAACAGTTGCTCTGCTCTATGAATCTCCAACTGAGCAATTCTCTTGTGGATTTGCTAATTCCTACCAAACATTCAGGCGAGGAATAGTGCTGAGTTGATCGATATATAAACAAATCCTGAAATCCAAATTGAATATATGCTCAAATGAGCGATATTTTTTATTAAGTTGAAGAGTTTCTTTTGAAGAATAGCTATCTCTGTCTTCTATTAACACACTTTGTCAGTGTTTGATAACTTTGAAGAGGTTTGAATAGCTTCAATGACAACGTCTCCCCCCTCTTGTCAGAGAGAATATGGAGAGAGCTGCGGTTTCAATGGCGGTTCCGATGACAGTGGAGATTCAGGCACTGGTAGGGGCGGTTTGGTGCTGTGCAGGGACGGTGGGGAGGGAGGAGAATGAGAAGAGAAGATATAGGGAATGAAAAAAGAGACAGAAGCTGGAGCGTTAATTAGATTTCATAAAATCTGGAGTTCACTACCGTTAAGTCTGAATTCCGTCAGTTTAAAAGATAAGAGGGAGAGGGTGGCGTGTTCTATTTTAATTGGATGGGACAGAAAAATTTCTGTCTCTTGGAGACAGACAATTTGAGCCCTTTGGTCTCCATTCTATTACTCCCCATGCAAAACGGCGTTCTGTGTACCGGACGAGTGCACCCACCAATCACAAACGCCCACGTCAGTGTATTTAAAATTTATTAAATTTAACGGACGTTTAGCTGTTAGTTAAATAATTCAGTTGAACCGGACTCTTTTATAAGACCTATGTATACTATGCAGCGCCAACCACCTCCCCTTTCTCTTTCTATAAAGACCTTAAAACCATGGAAACTCGAACAATAGAGAAAGAAAAAAAAGAAGGAAAAAAAGTATTCCTCCCGACAAGGAGGAAGTAGAGTGGAGAGATTACGAAGCTACGACGAATGAAGAAACCCCTCTCTTTCTCTCTCCTGTCTTTCTTTGCTTCTTCTCTTTATTTTGCCTGGTATTTTGTACATTAACGTCGTACCAGAATTTCTAGGTTTTCTTTTGTTCGCTTCTTAATTACGAGAATTACTACCAGATGGGGACAGAGATTTTACGCCCTCAAGACTGTTTAATCGAATGCATGAGAGTATGCCTGGTGACCTTGCCTCGCCGTAAGCCTTACGCCGGTAACTGCAGATCTTGCTAGAGACAAGCCATCCAGCCTGAACCGTAGAGCCCTCGATTTCGAAGAAACCAATTGCAAGCTCTGATGATTCGAGACCATTGTCATCGTCATCCTCGTTGTCGAAGGGTTTGGTTATGGGACATGTGACCATCTTAAAGCGTGGCGAGACTCTTGAATCCAAGAGAAGGAATGAATATTCCGCTAACAAGACTGTAGTTTCGAGCGGGGAAGAGGATATGGGATGTGAATCTTCTGTTCTGCTGTTAGGGTATGTAAGTAAACCCCATCTACCACCTCCTTTGCCTCGTCCTTCATCTGCTCTATTATAATGAAAGGGGAGTGGGGGGAAGAAATTTGCAGGGGTTAGAGTTAGAGTTGGGACTGAGGAGTAGACATCTCGAGGTAGATAGGGTGAGTGGCTGGTTCCCGGAGGCGCATCGTTGTTGAGCAACTTACGAATGTGGGGCTTCATGGATGGATGAGTGGATTATTGGTGAGATTGGAAAGCGCGGTTTGCAGAGATAGAGGGAGTGAGAAGAATTGAGGGAACGAGAGACAACGTGAACAGAGAATCTTCAGATCTTGGCTTTATATAATTTGTTTGCTTTTGGATTTGAAAATTCAAGTCTGGACTCTGGAGAGAGAGAGAGAGAGAGAGAGAGCTACGACTGTTGTGGATGGAGATTGGATTAGAAAGAGAGGAGACAGAGACAAATTGACGATGAAGCTTTGATTTGGAGTGCATCTGGATGAAGTTGCGGCAGTTTGCAATTTGCAGTGCACCCGGGTTTGTAGAAAACAGGGAAACTACCTCCGGTTTTTGGGTTTGGCTGGTTCAATGCTTCACTTCCCTACTGTGGAAATGAAAGTGGAACTCGGCTTATGTGTTCATGATGCCGGTGGAACTGAAGAGGCATTTTCAGTGAACCACACGGGTGAGATTTGGCTTCATGGTCCTAGTGTTATGAAAGGTAAAAGGCAAAAAGGATGAGATCTCAGACCCATCCACACTCGCCGCCGGTGGCTTTTGCGTTCAGTGAGATCGTCGGTCGTAGGTGGATGCTTCTGGGCTAGGGGTTGGCAGAGGAAAGTATGGGAGGAAGAATAGTGTAAGGTGTGTTTTAAATTGTCTTTTTATGTCCGGTTCAACCGGATTCTTTAACTAACGGCTAAAAGTTAGTAAATTTTAAAGGGCTAATAGCATATGAGGGCAACTTTTGGGCTTTAATATCAATAAAAGTAATATATTTAAAAAATTTTTAAAAATGGGTTAATTTTTTAAAAATAATATCAATAAATGGCAAAAACAGTGTTCATCATCTTCTTCTTGCCATTTGTTCATCAAAGCCGTTGGCAGACGCTGCCTCCGCCTCTGGCAACGTTGCCGGAGGTGGCCGGAGACAGAGGCGGCGGCGGCGGCGCTGGTGGTCATTCCTTTGCCTGCCGCCACCGCCACCTCTGTCTCCACCCATCTCTGGCAATGTTGCCGAAGGCGGAGGTGGAGATGGGCGGAAGTGGCTGCATTGGACAAAAAAAACACCAATGGTGCCGCCGCCACCTCTGGCAACATTGCCGGAGGTGGGCGGCGGCGGACAGCGGCTCTGATGAACAAATGACAAAAGAAGAAGATGATGAATAGTGTTTTTGCCCTTTATTGATCTTATTTTTAAAAAGTTAACCCATTTTTGAAATTATTTTAAATATATTACTTTTTTTTATATTAAACCCCAAAAGTTGCCCTTATATGCTATTACCCCAATTTTAAACACATCGACGTGGGCGTTTGTGATTGGCGGGTGCACTCTTCCAATGCACCCATGGTTGCATAGAATGCAGCCTCATTCAAAACTTCTAATTTTCTTTCTCTATTCCCGCTCAAAAGAGTTCACATCTTGTGGGGTGCCCCACAATGCCCCACAGCACATCTCCACCTTGTATTAGGAGCATCTCCCGATGATGTTTCATCATCTCCTCTGCTTGTTATTGGGAGATGTTTCCAATACAAGGTAGGGATGTGCAGTGGGGGATTCTGGGGCACAGATGTGAACTCCGCTCAAAGCCCTTTGCCTCTCCTCTTTTTTCTATGATAATAAAAATATGAAACCCTAGCACCCTCCACTGGTTGCAATGCTATCCTAGTGACAGGCGATCTCATCGGTGACAATACGAGGATTAAAATCCTAGCTCCCTTCGGTCCTCTTTTCTCTCCAGCAATGATCCCCTAACTCTCTCTCATTCCATTCGTTGTAGTTCTCTCCCCAACGACTAGGGATCTCACCCGAAAGAAAAGAAACCGATGAACAAACATCAATGACTCACACCGGGTAGATAAAAACTTGTAGACACTGGCCAGGGATCTCATGAACCGAGTAAAAATCATAGTCCAATAAGAAGCAAAGGCAAAATAGCTAAACTTGGTAATGGTTATCGGTGATAGTAGCATGCATGTGAAAAAACAAAAAAAAAAAACCAGTGAAGGGATCCCTCGTATTGTTGCCAGTGTCTATTRTTGAAGGTGAAATTGTCGACCGTTGGGCGGAGCATTGCAATTGGTGGAGGGCACTAGGTTTCATACTGTCATTGTTGGAGAGAAAAGAGGAGAAGCAAGGGGCTTTGTGCGGGAGAAGAAAATTGGAAGTTTCAAATGGGGGGAGCGGAGACCTAATGAGAAATGTTGTATGTTTATCAAAAACATCCTAATTCAATGAATGGCGGCCCCATAGAGAATTGTGGATTTATAAGTAGGTATGTCAATGGGTTGGGTTAAACAATAAATCCACCTTGACTCATTAGGATCGGGTTTATTTTAGTGTAGGTCGGGTTAGGGTCAAGGTCTTAAAAGGCTAAAGGCATAATTGAGGCATAATGGCTCAAAAAGGTGAGGCATAAGCCTCGAAGTCTAAGAAAAAATTAGGGAAATTTCCTTATTAGTACCTTGTACTTTGGGCCTAGTGCCACTTTGGTCCCCGAACTTTAAAATGCGACAATTTAGTATCCAAACTTTTAAAACGTGCCAATTTAGTACCTATCATTAACTAGTTGTTTTAAGTGATATTTGAAAAGACACAAATGCCCTTTGAGTGCCATCTAATTCTCTTTATCAATGTTGATAAGAAATGAATAGTCCCAAATCCTTGCTTATTCTATTCAAGAAAGTTGGGATAATGTCTTAAATAGGAGAGGCAAAGATTTAGGACTATTCATTTCCTATCAATGTTGGATGGTTGATAAAGAGAATTAGATGACACTCGAAGGGCATTTGTGTCTTTTCAAATGCCACTTAACGGCTAGTTAATGAATTGGTTAATAGTAGGTACTAGATTGGTATATTTTGGAAATTCAGGTATTGAATTGTTGCATTTTAAAGTTCGGAGACCAAAATGGCACTAGGCCCAAAGTACATGGTACTAATCGAGAATTTTTTTAAAAAAATTAATTAAAGTTTGTAAATGATGAAAATAACATATAATACACCAAATTAAAATGATATAAGGTACATATATCCATAAACTAGAAGTTTATAAGCAATAGTTTTGGCATTTAAGCATTAAATAAAATAATAACTAATCAATTAACAGTTATAAACATTTTACATTTCATGTAAAAAGCAATTTAGAAGAAAGTAAACATATGAACAATTATCTAAAAGTCACCATGACTTTTTGGCATTTTTCTTAAACTCACCACAACTTTTGAAAATGTCCAAGGAGCCCCATGCTAGTAACTTGTCACTAAGGTGGCGTTTGATTGCACTTTTTAGATGTCTGAATCTAAAAATGCTTTTCAGACACCACCTTTGTTTGGTGTTGCATCTGAAATAGGGTTTGAAAACTTTTTTCAAATCTGAAATTTTTAAACTCAAGTTCGTTACTTAATGCGTTCAGATGCGTTTCAGACATGGCCAAAAGTCAAAACTACCCCTCCCCATTTGACCTCTCTTTCTCGTCTTCATTACATCTCTCTCTCTGCCCTATCTTCCACCACCACCGCTGCAACTTGCAGCGACAGTTCTCTCTCCCCACACTGTCTTCTTGCCACCGCCGCTACAAGTTGCAGCAACGGCTCTCTCTCTTGTAGTGACGGTTCTCTCTCTCTCTTGTCTTCCCACCACCGCCATCGCCGTTACAACATGTAGTAGCGGTGGTTCGGTGAGTATAATAATATTTTCAATAATTATTAATTATTTTAATATTTTTTATTAAACATTAATTATTTTTATTAAATTTATGTGTTTTAGTTATTAATTATTATTTATTTTTATTAACTAGTATTTTTTAATTATTTCATTAATTTATAAAAATGATTTTAATTTTTATTTGTGTAAATTATTAATTTATTATTTTTTATTTATATTGTTTCAATATTATTTTGAGGTTGAAAATTATTTTTTATGAGATAATGTAAATTGAAGTCAACATTTCCAAATAGTATGTTCTAGGGGTAAAATAATAAAATCAGTAAATTCATATGGTAAAGGGTTGATCCAACACAAACAAACTTATA